TCGATTTCGGACGATGGTACCCCTTACGTTTTTGCCAAAAAACCGAAAATTTCATTTTTTGCGATTTATGACGATGTTACCCCTTATGTTTTTGTTTTAAATGGACAAACATAGTGAGAAAATGCTCATGATGCCTCCACAAAAATCTAAAAACTCTGTTTAGACATAGACTGACATTGTTTAATGTCAATGCATGCTCACCAAACTATGCAGCGGAAGGACTGCAATGTGATTTAAAAATCTTAGAATTGGCTTATTATTGTTTACATGAGCACTGACTTTCCCTGAACAGTTGGATTGTGCTAGGAATTCAAGGAGAATGTAATCTTGTCCGTCCAAATGACCGTCTTGTATTTTTTGCGTTCAACCTATAGCCCGTAACTTTTAAAATATGTTTTGATGAAATTTGGTACATATCGACCTATTGTGCCAAAAGCACTAGCGCTTTTGGAATTGGTTTGGTCTGGGTCATCTTTTTGACCACTTCCTATATAATCTTATTATGAAAATGCTTTTATATGAATAACGGTTTTTCAGGCGATGAGCTCAATAGTGTGTTGTTGGGTCGAATGTAATTTTCTTTTCTTACTTTTATCTTTTAATAATAAATTTTAATTAAAATTTGGTGGATTTTCAATTGTGCTGAAGATTTTTGCCTAGCTTTTCTAAATAGAATTAGTTATATGTATGTATATACATAAAATTCTAGTTAGTTTTCTATTTATGACAAAAAGATAAGCAATTTCCTCCCCTTTGCTTACGTTCTTCTGCTCAATTTATTTCGTTCTAAAACCATGTCAACGCTTCAAAATAAACCAAACGCCTAGTAGACAATCGGAGAGGCAACGCGACATGTTGATATGAAACATTTTAGTCAAAAATTTTGGGCCATTGTCCTGATTTTGAAAGCCTTTACTATTATACCCTTACCCTTTTGTTTTATCTTTTTTAGAATTGTGGACATCGTATGCCTTTCCAATATACCTGATGACGATTTTGGATTATAAAAATCTTGAAACGGCTTATAGCATAAAACTTATATCGCCCTCTGCTTTGGCGTACCCTGTATGTGTATTAGCAAAATTAGCTTTTCATCGCAATAAAACTGAAATCCAACGAAATGCTTCGTATGAGAATAAAAATTTTTTCTTTATTTAAATTTCATTGTTCATATTTTATTTTATGAATCGCATGAACGAAACAATGAAATTGAGATTTTAGTAAAATGATTTCATCAGTTTTATACATGGTGTATGGTAATGTTGCCTACTATTCGAGCTATTCGACCTATTCAAACTACTACTACTAGCTTTCATACTAGAATGTTGTGGAATTCTTTTAATGGTTACAACAAAAGCGCATCGTATTTGTTAAGCATCAAATTGTTGCCATTATGTGTGCTATGTCAAGCGAAAATCATATTTCAGTCATTCATTCATTTCATTCCTACGGTAAGCTACTGGGTTTTTTTTTTTTTTTTTTTCTTTTCACTTTATTACATAAAACGAAAAATTATGTTTGTCCAGCTGTCCGAGAACAATCAAATCAAAAGTTTTCCCAAAATATATATATATAATATATATATATATATATATATACAAAATGCAAAATTAAATATGTTATCGAAAACCTCGCATGTTATCTGTAGAGAAATAATTGCTAATATATATCGAATGTACTAAGAATTATACAAATTAACCCAATTAGTGTTAGTACAGAATGTGTTGAACGTATATAAAACCAAGAAATTGAATCTCGACTTACCTATATTCTCCAAGTCCGTTTTTTCACATGCGATCGCTATACAAGGCAAGGAAAGAACCAGCGCTGGGCCCTGAGAAAAAAAAATGCACGCAATTAGGCAAAGAAAATAAAGCAAAATTATTTAAAATTTAAGAAATATGTCTCTTGAAAATCTGGCCTACAGTATACGCCCCCAATCAATAACCAATTTTTGCAAATTTTTATTTACATATTATCCTGAGGTAGGGGATTCGATGTAAGGTGCGATTATAAATTTATTACTTGCTTTATATATACATATTTGCGTATTTAACAAACATAGGCAAAAAGTTACCCATATGTTTAATAAAACTTGGTTTCCACCTCCTTGATTTCTAGTCATGCGCATGCTGAGCATGTCCATGCCGATCCGAATGGTCAATGCTTTTATTTATATTAATTTCAATCATTTCAATTATTTTTATTTATTGTTAAAAGAAAATCGTTATTTTTTATTCATTTAATGGAATTAAATAAGTGAAAAATTTAATAACGAAACATATATCTATATATATATATATGTTTTTAAACAATAGTTTTACATATATACGTATATGTTGTTAGTTACATAAATGACACATCTCTGATAAAATAAGTTTGCATGAAATGTGTCTAACTCTCTGAAGGGGGAAAAAACGAGCAAAACAAAATTTCCTATTATTATAATTATTTTAATTAAAGAAATAAATTCAAAGACTAAAGTCGTGAACTATTAGCATCTGAGACTATTTCGTTTTATTAAAAACTTTACCGCGCTTGAGATTTGAACTCACGACTACTGCGTTGAGTTAGTCGAGATCTTTACTGCACTCGGCCATTCAGGCGCATGAAAATTTCTTAAATTGTGAAGAAAGTAATGAGAGCAAGTAGAGATTGTTGATGCCTACCTGCCAGTTGGCAGCTAAAGGAAACGATTAAGTAACATTTGAATCTGGTATTGATGGCAGATGATTTTCTTAAGGCACAATGAGAAAGAGCGTTGAATGATATCCTTCGGATACAATGAACTGGATCAAGTGTGTCTGAATCAAGTGTTGTGAAATGATCAAATTACTGCAACTAAACTTCCTTTAAACTACTAACACACACACATAAATAATAATAATAAATTTCTATAAATAGTTCCCCAAAAATTGTAAATAAAATCTGTACTATTCTCAATCAAGTTCAAGCGTTTATATTAAGCGTTTGTCCCGGATGGGATAACTGTGCAATAGCCCACCTTAACAATATGCAGACAAGCCATTGCGGAGTGAGGCTTCTATAACAAAATGGTGGACAAAACAACAATAAGTAACAAAATTATATTCGACGGGGGCCGAATCTCGCGTATTCATCATCAGAAAGTAAAGTATCTAAGTAAGGCTTGCAATGTGTATTATTAACTGTAGAGTGCCGCAATCTATATTTCAGAAGATAGGAAAACTTTTCAGTTCGAACAAATCCCTATTGCTAGATAAGCAAAGATCGGTTCAAGTCCGTCATATCACTTTTTTCTTATTTTCTTTCCTTAGTCCACATCCCTCTTGCCAGAAAAACATGTTTACAGCCCTCTATGCACGAACCGTAGCTTAATGAAGCCAATGGGTTTGGATTATCAGCAAACTTGGCATAAGATTTTGGAACTTGTGGGGCAAATTTTATTTTCTATTCCCATCACCGAGGGATGAGGGGTATATTCATTTCGTCAAAACGTTTGCAACGCACAGAAGGAAGCATTAGAGACTCCAAAAAGTATATATATAAATTCTTGATCAACATCAAATTTTAAATCGATTTAAGCATGTCCGTCTGTCCGCCTGTTTGTCTGCGCAACTGTGTAGTGTTTGTGATGTGATCGCCTAGAAATTTGGGAGGGACTTCTCACTTTTTCACAGGACACGCCAACAACTCCCACAGGCCTACGCGGCAAAAACTTTTATTTTGTAAATAGAAAAAAATCAGCTGCGCCCGGTTCATATTACGAAGCATGAAATTGTAGTTCTTTCCCTGTTTTTATTTTTTTTTCGGGGGTTGGGGGGATAACTGTGGTGGGTATAAAAGATTCGGTCATGATCGTGTATAGTTTTCTTACTTGTTTTATTCAATATTAATGTTCGGTTTACCTATTTAGGATTATTATTAAAACTTATTAAATTATTTTAAATTTTCTTGAAGAGATGTTTTTGGTTAAAAGAAAGAAACAAACAACTTATCAAATATTTCTCTCACAGATGAAGATGGTGAAGTCCTTCGATTGAGTGCATTTATGATTTCGTCTAATTCAAGAGGATTATTAATTTCATCAATCAATTTATATTTTCTTGATTTAAGTTTAGCAAATGCTACCATTGCTTAATACAATTATTATGAATTTATTAAAGAAAACAAGAGCGAAATACAAGATGTCACGGTAATGTCATTTATATAAAGGTCTTGCTTGATGCCTTCATTGTTGTGTCGTCATCGTTGTGATCATCATCTTCATCGTAATTATTATAAGCATCAGTTCGGTACCAGGTGAATTCGTTGAGATAATTTTACTTACAGAAAATCATCTTCTACTCTGCTGTACACACTCAGTGTATTGCATGCAGTGCCAACATTAACAATAACAAACATCAACAAGCACTACACAACGGCGAACAGAACGTAATAGAACAACACAAGAACAACAAGACTTATAAAAAAAAATAAATAAAAAAAAAAAACATAAAAACCATTTATATGTAAGCACTTGTATGAATAAACCATTCTAGATATGTACATATATATTTTGTTGTTGTTGTTGTTGTTAAACAGTGTGTGGTGGCAGTAGAATGCTTTTTCCGACTGCTACTGTGAAACGTTAAAGGGGAACAATTTTTATTTCTGCTGACAGCTGCTCTGTTCTTGATATTTCTTTTGTTGACGATGTAACAAAACGATACATAATGCAAGTAAATATAGTGAAATTTAAGGTACCTAAAGCATACACAATATTCAACAGAAATTGCAGTTACAGTGAAGAACAAAAGTTGCAAATTTGCTCACTAGAGAAGAAGAGAAAGGCATTTTTTAGCAATAAATCAGAGATAATTGACTGTTGTCCTCACGCGTGTTCGATACGAAATGTTAAACGCCTATCTGCTTTGTCGTCACACATCCATCTTAAAACCTTTTTAAAAATATTTTTTTCAAAAAATTTCTTGCCCATTATGACTAAACTCATCATCAATACTCTGATATATCCTCAGATAAATTTCAGGATAAATTAAAATCTTCGATTCGATATTATTGTTTGACACATAGTAGTGAAGTAATTGATTTAAGTAACACCCGTTGCTTTCTTACAAAAGCTTTAATCAAAATTGCATTCAGTTCTATTGAAGAAGACTCAAAACGTACAACATTCCACTTCCGTAATAGTAAACAACAAAAGCTATTCCAAGTGCAAGAACAATGAAAAATATGCGAAATATTTCCGCTACTGTTTGTATGAAATCAATAAAGTTCACATCAGATTAGATGTTCGATTACATATCTAACGAAAAAAAATCAAAATTCAAATTGACCAAATACCAATTGTAGGGTGCATTTTATCGGATTACCAAGATTCAAATAATTAATTGAAAACATAACCTAAGCATTCCTAGTTCAGTGCCAAGCCATGGACAAAAGTAAAAGAATTATACCGGGTTCACGATTGCGGGCGAGACTACACATTGGACCTTGGATTGGACGAGTTAGACGATTGCAGTTACTTTACTGGCTAGTAAATGAAACCAAGACGACGTTTCAACGCAGCCGACGTTGCTCGTAGAGTGCAAAATGCAATTTGTTATTAGCACCTCGACGTAGGTATCCGCGTCATGCATGTTGCAACTTTCTATCTCCATTGGTTGCGCTAGAAAATTTTCCAGCAATAATTGACAAATAGACGCATAGTTGGACGGGTGGACAATTTCACGCGAATCGAGGACGTATGTATACTACAGGATTTCTGACACTTAGGCATCATAATGCAAAAGAAAAACACTGTATTAGCCCCACACGCATGGACATAATCATCATCAGCCGCAATATGTCCATAAAATTTATCTCTTCAGAGTAAAATTCAAAGTTTGGAAAAAGACGAGTAACCTTTTTGTCCCATAAAATACGAATAGATATGAAAGGAAATCGTCTTACCGTCCCATAGTAGTACAAAAGTTCATACACTCCTTCTCAAATTAATGACTAACCCTTCCGGACCTCCCTAATTTCACGTGCAGTTAAGGAATGGCAAAGCGTGACTTACAACCTGGCTTGTAGTCAGACCAAGTCTGACTTACTATAATTTTTGACATAATTTTTGACTTGAAGGGTGAAATAGTCCGTCCTTCTTTGTTATCTAATTCGAATACATGCAGTGTGAACGTTGATTGCATTGTAACGTCCTTTGATGATCTCATGCGATTAGAAGCTTCTACTAATCGTCTTTATTCTAAACAATGCTGACTAGAACTTCTTGTAAGCTCCAAGAGAAGGGACTTTTAGGTATCTGCTCTTCGTTTTTATCCTTTGCGATAATTTTTCTTTTTAATCCCATATGTCTTCTCTTCTCCACCTTTACAACCAATTCTTCCAATTAGTCCTTATGTCGATAGGAAAACGCGAAAGTGGCTATTATGGACTTATGACTTTCCATTGCTTTGAGACAACCTCCCAGCTCGTATCCTCTCTTTGGTGTCCGATTGCATTCCATGCAACGCTTCTCTTCGCTGGCTTAACTAAATGATTGCTTTCATTATTAAAACGTTGAACACAATGAATGCGCTTGCATCCGTGCACCACGGGCTCAAATGTCAAAATATGCTTTGATTGATATACAAAACTAATTTGCATGATGCACGATGCAAATGCGTCGCTTAAGATTGTATTTAGTTAAAAGTGATTATGTTCGATGAAAGTACATTTTCAGCAATCATTATTCTGCTGCAGATAAGCTTTAAGTTATACCGCGCGTTAAACATTCACTCGCTAAAACTGTTACGTGCGGTCTCTTCGTTCTCTTCAGTTCGTTACCTTATTGACGTATTGACGTATAATCAT